CCCCAAAACCCCAAAACCCCAAAACCCCAAAACCCCATGCAAAAAGCAAATATTTAAATTATGATAATTTTTATAAAAATATATGATTATGGACAGAAAAGGGAGCGACGACGTTTTTGATAAAAAGAAGAGGAAGAAAGAAGAAAGCAAGCATCATAAACATGTCAGAATGTCAAATGATATTAGAGACTCTAGAAACAACAGGTCTACATCTCACAACCGCCCAGGAGTTCATATGGATAAGTATAAGCAGCATGACACCAGTGGACCAATAACAGTGAAGAATTCCAAGCTTCCTTCTGCCTTTGATGTTAATCATAAGAGTAAGAGAAGCATGAAGTCTATTGTAAAGGTAGATAAGAAGGCTCATGAAACATCATATTATAAAAACAATAAGGAAAGCCACCATGTCAAACCTCCAAAGACTTCTCATGGGAAGAATACTAGGACCAGCAACGAATATCCCGAACATAGTCCTACAAACGGTGAAGAGGAGAGGAAAGGAGCCAAAGATGATTATAAACACGGTATTAAGAATAAACCCAAGACTCTTATTAATAAAAAGCTACCTGATGTATTTAGTAACCCTCAGATGAAGTATAAGGCCATGAAAAATGAGCAGTATATTAAACAGACTGGTCTAAAGAGTGACCAATCTAACATTATTCTTGCAGGAAGAGATGACAGGTGAGCATTACAAAATAAGGCTTTCAACAGCCTTCATCTCCTTCACAAATTTTGCATGAACACCATTTCATTATTATATGTGTGGATAAAGTTGTTTATAGAAGGAATAAACCTAAGAAAAATAAGAAAGACGCTTCTAGAGTTGAAGATCCACGGAAAAGTAAGCAGACTACTCTTGACCCAATGTCAATCTCGATTGAGCAGAAGAAGAGCATGAAAAGAAAGCTACATGAAGTAGTCAGTAAAGGAGAACCCTCATCAAAATATGATGCAATGGGAGCTTCCAAATCGAATGGTTTTGGGTCTTTTTCAAAGATAAGTCCTGATGTTCAGATTAATTCCTTTTCTCCTTCAAGTGTTAAGCTTCAGCATATGGTGAGCTTAGCCTTGGTTAAATCAAGTAATCTGAGTGGGCCGATTAAGAAGATGCTCCATGTGCCTTCATTCTCAATCTATTGAGTGAAGGAAATTCCAATATCATCTAGAGAAGCTAATTCTCAGTTGAAGAGGTGGGTAGGCGAATGGGAGACTATCTCCCAGAAACCTGAAGCTCAGAATTACTTAGTGTCTATCCACGGAGCCCACTGGAATTCTCCAGAAGGTTGAGTTTCACTTATTATGGAGTACTTGAATGGAGGGAGTCTTTTGAATCTAGTTGATAATGTAGGAGCTCTTCCTGAGAACATTCTGCTTGATATCACTCATAGTGTCCTTCACAGTCTAAATTATATGCATAATAAAGCTAAAGTTAGTCATAACGGATTAGGAATGTCTCAAATAATGTTTAATCAGGATGGAGAAATAAAATTAAATCTTGGGATTTCCCAAATTTTTCCAAAAGAAGAGATAGGTTATACGTCAAGTTTAGAACCTTCTAAAATGAATTTGTACTCGATTCATCAGATCAACTCTCCAGCAAGGTCGAAGAAAATGTCTTTGTTCAATGACCTTTCAACTTCTGAAAGTGAGAGATCACAAGCATTTAAGAGGGAGATCTTCTCCCAAGATATTTTCGATCTTGGCTACATCCTACTAGTCTCTGCTATTGGAGGGTTGGACCTTATCAATCATGAGTCCCTTGATTTCTCAAATACTAAGGATGCTTGATGACTGTTGCACATGTGAGAGCAAGTTAAAGTCGATAAAAATTCGATCACCATCTCTGACTTACTAGAGGAGAGATATTCAAAATCATTTTCAGATTTTCTATGCAAATGACTAAAATTTGACTATAATGAAAGAGAGCCTATCAAAACTCTTGTTGGAAAAGATGGTCACCCTTGGCTAAATCAGCGAGGTCTTGAAAAATCATCGAGTGAGTTCGACATCACACTTCCTGAACTTCTGAGTATTAGCGGAGGATGTTTGGAAGACAAAAACTGTTCAACTCTCTATCTTGATGAGTTCAAATCAACCCAAGTTGACAAACTGCTTGACTTTATCGAATGAGTAGATGATAGACCAGCTCATATCTCGAAGAACAAGATAAAGAAGGTAGCAGAGGAGCTTGGAATCGACCCAGATTACCTACATAAGCAGTTGAAACAGATAGACTACTTTAAATAGGTGTTTATACTTTGATGTATTAACATAGTTAAATAATTTTAGTCAGAAAGAACTTTAGTCTGAAATAACTTTTAATATGGCCTTCTATTTTCAAATGTTGAATAAACTACGGGGTTTTGGGGTTTTGGGGTTTTGGGGTTTTGGGG